AACAAATATACTTAGTGTGATTGATTATGATCCTTGCTTTTCTTTAAAGTGACCATGGTTCGAATCCTAGTATTTTTCTTTTTTATGAATAAATAAATAAATAATAAATAAGCAATTGTGAAGACCAAAATGTCCTTCCTACATTTACTCTCGTTGCAGGAAATTTGAAATGGAGCAACAATTTTTCTCTTTGTGCTATTATATTATGGGTAGATAAATTGAGTTAGTTGGGAGTAGAATGATAATTACAATATTTTCCTTTTTAGTTTGTTTTTATTTTCTAGAGATTTCATTTCCATTCTCCACTTGTAACAGAGAGTGAGAAGATATTGCGTAGACTAGAGAGAGAAACAATTTGAGGAGAGAGGAGAAGTTCAGTAAAGAGAAACATTCTATGTTTTAATGTAAGTCTTGTTGGTTAGTACTACAAATTTTTCGATTAAAAGAACAAATAGAAGGTTACCATTATTTAGAGTCACATTACAAGGGAGATCATTTTGTAATTGATCAAAGTTTGGAGGAGTTTTATGTCATTAAGGTTCTAAACAATTAATTTTATGCTATTATGGTTCTAACAATTAACTTATGACAATTGAATTCTAATTGAATCCAAATCAATGAGTATTCAACCTAATTCGACATGGTTAAAGCGAGTTGACTCGGTTTAACCAAATTTTGGGTTGACAACGAGTTCTACACTCTTAAATAAATCAATGGGTTGAACTCGGGTAGGCGATTTTTATACGCTTAAATCAATAGAGTGAGCTGAACTCGGTATTAACGAACTTTGGGTCGAGCAAGTTTTTTTTCTCTTTCCTTCGCTTATCGATCACGATTACGGTTGTTTTACTACTTTTTTTTGTCTCTGGCTCTCTGCTTTGCAAATGATTTTTTACCGGTTTTTTTGTTCTGTCGGGCTTTCAAATGATTTTGGAGACTTTAGAGGGTTAGTCTTTTAGTCGCGACCTTGAACTCTTTAAAAGAACAAGTTTCGGGTTACTATTTGGTAAGCCACATCAACTAGGATTAATTTATTATTAACTTTTATTTAATTAATCAAATGTTTTAATTATTTCTTGATAGTTGAACTCAAATTCATGTGTATTCAACCTAATTTGACCCAGTTTCGGTGTTGCCGAATTTTGGGTTGGGAACAAATTTTACCCATCTTTTAAATGTTTTCTCTTATGACAATTGAATCCAAACTCATGTGTGTTCAACCTAATTCGAGCAGGTGTCGATGTATCCGAATTTTGGGTCGAGAATGAATTTTACCCGCTTTTATAATTAACGAATAGGGTCGGGTGTGCATTTTGTTAAGAACACCCCGCTTTACTCGGTATTAACGAATTTTGGTTCGAGCAATTTTTTTGTCTTTCCTTCGCTTATCGATCACGGTAACGGTTGTTTTACTACTTTTTTATCTCTCCGCCTTGCAAATAGTTTTTTACCGATTTTTTGGTTATATGAGGCTTGAAAATGATTTTGGAGACTTTAGGGGTTAGATCTTTTAGTCGCGACCTTGAACTCTTTTAACGAACAAGTTTTGGGTTACTATTTGGTAGAGTCACATCAACAATTATTATTTTATTTTTTTACGTTTCTTTAATTAATCATATGTTTTAATGATTTCTCGATAGTTGAACTCAAATTGATGTGTATTCAAACTAATTCGACCCGGTTTCGGTGTTGCCAAATTTTGGGTCGGGAACGAATTTTACCAATCTTTTAAATATTTTCTCTCATGAATTTGAACCCAAACTAATGTGTGTTCAAGCTAATTCGAGCCGGTGTCGATGTATCCGAATTTTTGGTCGAGAACGAATTGTACCCGCTTTTATAATTAACGAGAAGGGTCAGGTGTGCATTTTGTTAAGAAAACACCCAGCTTTATCGAGTTAAATCCAACGCATTTTACCCTCTTTTGTGATCGACAGATTGGGTCACGTGTGAATTTTGTTAGAAACTCGACCCGCTTTATCAAATCGGTAAGAGAAATTCATGTGTGTTCACAAATTTTGGGTCGCTTTGGGATTGAACCACATTGAATCCGCCTCTTATGATAGTTGAATCCAAAATCCCGCTTTATCGAGTTAAATCCAATGTTGACGCATTTTGAGTCGAGGACGGTTTTACCCTTAACAATTTTGGGGGCATGAATGAATTTTATCCACTTTTGTAATCATCGAATTGGGTCGGGAACGCACATCGCCCACTTTTGTGATCGACGGATTGGGTGGCGTATGGATTTTGTTAGAAACTCGCCCACTTTATCTAATCGGTTAGAGAAATTCATGTGTGTTCAACCTAATTCATGTGTGTTCACAAATTTTGGGTCCCTATGGGATTAAACCCAAATTAAACTCGCCTCTTATGACAGTTGAACCCAGATTCATGTTTGTTCAAGATAATTTTACCCAGTACCACTGTTGCCAATTTTTGGGTCGAGAACAAATTTTACTCGCTTTTAAAATTAACGAATAGGATCGGGTGTGCATTTTGTTTAAAACAAACCCCACTTTATCCAGTTAAATCCAATGTTGACGCATTTTGGGTCGATGACGAGTTTTACCCTTGATAGTTTTGAGGGCGAGAACGCATTTTACTCGCTTTTGTGATCGACGGATTGGGCCACGTCTGAATTTTGTTAGAAACTAGACCCGCTTTATCAAACTGGTAAGAGAAAGTCATGTGTGTTCACAAATTTTGGATCGCTTTGGGGTTGAACCCGCTTCTTATGACAGTTGAACCCAAAACCCCACTTTATCGAGTTGAACTCAATGTTGACCCCAAATTTTTAGTGGTGGTGGACAGATTTTCTAAATATGGCCATATCTTCAACCTCTCTAGAGTCTAGACCCTATACTGCCATGACTGTGACTCAAGTGTTCTTTCATGGGTCTTTAAAATGGGTTAATACCTTATTTTGGCCCCAACTATGACCATATAATCAACTTTGGCACGTGGTTTCAGAAATTAACATCATGGCCTGAACTTTGCAGCATAAATACTCATTTGGCCCCACACATGGTTTGACGGTCAATTTGGACGGTCAACACCGTTGACCTTTAGTCAACAGTCCAGGTCATCACCATGTCAGCAACCAAAGCAATAAAAAATTCGGAATTGAGTTTTCTTTCTTATTTCCTTTACCTAATTAACAAAAAATGGAAAAAAAATCTTTCAAACACCCATCGCCTCCTCTCTGCCCCCACCGCAAAATCGCACTCCTCAGCTGCCATTGACACGCAGCTGGAATCGACGGCGACGATGATTTTGACTTCGATTTCGTCTCCGGTGGCAGCGGCAGGTAGCTCGTGGTCAGCCCTTGGATCTAGAAATTAGGGATTTCGCTCATTCCTTTCCCTTTCTCTGTTGGCAACTCGTCGTTCTTCTTTCTCTTCCGCGACGGCGTAGCAGCAGCCGGCGGAATCAATTGGGACAGCTATGCTGAACCAAGCTTCTTCCTCCCCAACAGCGTCCGCGAGTCTCTCGACAACCCTCCATCTCGGCCGCCAACCAATAACCCACAATCGGCGAGACCGAGCCCCAATCTCGAATCCGAGCCAGAGAATCTTGTTTTCGGGGGAAGGGCAGCGAATTGCTATGCTGAAAGGGGGAGATTACAGATAATTGCGTTGCCGCCTCACAGGAGTCGTCGTCGTCGATTTCGAAGGGGGTTTGGGGGGATTACAGATAATGGCGCTGCCGCCTCACAGGAGTCGCCGCCACCGATTTCGAAGGGGTTTTGGGGGAGAAGACAATGGGACTTTGAGGATTTTGCTGTTAGCTCGTTCACTCTGTCCTTGGTAATGGTGGGAACGGAGATACAGGGAAGAAGAAAGGTCAAGGAGAAAGAGGGGTGGGGGTAAGTGGGGTGGGTTCCGAAATTAATTTGTTTTTTTTTTAAATTATTAATTATCTTATTAATTACATAAATGAAACAATAAGATAATTTGAATTTTGAATTTTGAATTTTTTGGTTTTGTGCTGACATGGCAGTGATCTGGACCGTTGACCGTCCAAATTGACGGTCAAACCATGTGTCGAGCCAAATGAGTATTTATGCTGCAAAGTTCAAGTCAGGATGTTAATTTCTGAAACCACGTGACAAAATTGATTATATGGTAATAGTTCGGGCCAAGATAAGGTATTAAACCCTTTAAAATCCATTGTATGCCACAAACTATTGTTTCTGAAAGAGATGCCATATTCACCAGTTCTTTTTGATCTAAATTGTTCGAGTTACAACCAAAAAAACAAAATTTGAGTTACAAGGGGTTAAATTGCACTACTCCACTAGTTACCACCCACAGACATGGAAAAACAGAGAAGTTAAATCGGTGTATGGAGGAGTAGTATGATACATCATACACCACATTCTTGGTCAGCATGGTTAACCTTGGCGGTGAGGTGGTACTACACGGATTTTCATAGCAGTTTGCAGCTTACTCCCTTCGAGACTCTATATATGGTTACCTTCCGACACAATTTGTCATCTAGAATCCCTTATCTGTCTCAATTGCGGCAGTGACAGACAGGTTACAACAACAAAGACTAGAATAGGGAGAGATAATTTGGCCAAAGCTCAAAATATACAAGCAAATGACAGATGTTCACATAACTGAAAGGACCTTACAGGCAAGCCAGTGTGTCTACTAAAGCTAATCAGAAGCTTGCACCTAAGTTCTATGGTCCATTTCAAATTTTGTAGAAGATTGGTATAGTAGCTTACAGACGGAAGTTGCCTCCTAGGAAAGCCATCCATCCCGTTTTCCATGTTTCTCTACTCAAACAGGCTAGAGGTAATCAGTTGCAAACTCGGCCTACATTACTTGAGATGGATGAATATGACAGTCAGAAAATCAAACCAGCAACAGTCTTGGCTTGTCGATTTGTGGCAAGAGCAAACCATACTGCTACTCAAATACTGGCTCAATGGACTCACCAATATGAGGAGGATGCTACCTAGAATATTTGAGCCAATTCAAACTCAAGTTTCCAGCATTTTAGACTTGAGGACAAGTCTTTGCACAAGGGAAGGGGAGTTGTGCGAGTTAGGACTTGATTGCAAGAATTTAGAAGTTCATTGTCGTAAATAGAACATGGGAGGACCAAACTGTAATTGTGACCAATTGGTAAAAAAGCCGCCTAAGCCACAACGGCTAGGTTAACAAACCAATAACAGAATTTCCTACCCCCAGTCTCTTCTTCTTTCTTCTGCTAGGTTAAATGGATAGCAATCTTTGGAAAAGGTTCCGGAAAAGGTCCACTTTCTTCTGCTGAAACTGACCTGTCAACTACAATTAAGGCAGTGAAGAAACCAGAGCTCTTGTTTAGGACACAGACTATAGAACCTCTGCTCGGGCTGTTCTACATTTTGCGGGCAATTTCCTGCTTAATATAGTACACAGATCAAGAAGCCTCTGCTGCAGCAGCTCTTTTCTTTGCAAAGTATTCATCAGCTCTAGCAAGGTTCTTGAGAACTGCTGGCTTCAGCCACTTCTTTCTGCCAGGTAAGACAGTGATCGAGCAGCCAACAGATTCCAGCTTCTCCCTGGCTGACGTCGAAAAGGCTCGAGCTTTGAAGTTCAGCTTCACGTCGAGCTCCCCATCACCTAGAATCTAAATCCCATAAACTGAGAAGTGAGTGATTGACCAACAGCCACACCATTTTGGAAACTATTGATCTAATAGCACAACAATGGAGCTATTTGCAGTTTACTAGTTAAACCTATATACCAAAATGAAGTTTGAAGGACAATAAAATATTCTACTTGAAAGCTTTGAAAAGACAATAGAAGTTAAGGAGCAGAAGTGCAGTGCTCTGAGAGTGGTTCCACAGGTTCTTTATAATGACCTCTGATACTAAAGAAGGATTGAAGCTATGGAAAAAAACAACTAAGCCACCAAGCAGAAGCGAATTCTCATAACATATCACATGTGAGGCCTTTCACACACTGTTACGGCTCTATTTCACAAATGGAGGTCATAAGCCATATCAGATATGCACAATGGCCAAGTCAATCTACAAGCACGATCATACGAGTCTTATTCCAACACCAATGAGCACTTAATGCCGGGGCATTAATATGATCGCATAACTACTGCATGATTGTGATTTGTGAGGCAATGAGGTAACCTGCAGCACCATCATAACAGGTTTATGACTGACCAAATTACAAGTTCCTAAGATCACATTTAAATATGGTTACAGTATCATGTCAAACGATTCACTCTAAGCTTTTAAAATCAACACTAATGCATGGCTCTAGTTCAATGAATATATGAGAACAGCAGATACCCTACTTTCGTGGAGTGAGGACCCTTTGACCAGTAGGGACAACAAACTCTTCCGCAAGCTATAAACCGCCCATAGGAACAAGCAGAGCCAATGCAACTAGTACCAGTCACAGTTAGAAGGAGGAATATAACACTCATAAGGTCATACCTTAAGAGGAAGTCTCCTTTCTCTCCCCGATGGATTGATTAAGCCCTTTCCTTTCAAACTCTCCAGCGAAACCTCCTCACCCTCTTGAAATCCTGCTTCTGCTATGTCCTTTAAGTTGACCGGGACATATTTAGGTAAACCAGCATGCATGCCTTGCCCAATACAATAGGACAAGCGGATCATGTCAATTTCTGTAAAGCCCACAAGTAGAAGCTCGAAATGCATATAACCAAAACAAAACAGTATTGATAAACTAGTCCTAGAAACAACACGAAACCGCCTAGTAAGCGGCAAAATAGCAATGCTCAAATGTGTTCTATCACCCAAACTGCAAACCAAGCAGTCAGCGATATGCGGGCAAGAGATTCTCATCAAGCTTCTTACACACTCGTGATCAAAGGTCACACGTTACTGGAACATTCAGCACTGCAACTGAAGGACATATCACCTAGGCAACTAATCTTTCCATTCAATCCATCTAAAATTTCAATTATGCTATCCAACCGGGCAACTGAATTATCTTCCTAAATGCCCTAAACATCCATAGCTAATAGCATCCATTATTCGACTAAAACTAAGGGAATCCGGAAAATTATTACCTCCAGCGATTCCCCGCAATTTAGGGATTCGACGGTAGAGAGGCATCTGCCCACCTTCGAATCCTCTCATCACGCCAGGACCCGACCGGGATTTCTGTCCTCTCATTCCAAACCCACAGCTGTTACCTTGCCCGGCGGCGATACCTCTTCCCTTTCTCTTGGCTTTCTTCCTCGAACCTGGCTGCGGCGCCAAATTGTCCAGCCGGAACCGCTCGCCAACCGCCGGAACCGCGGCCGCAGCAGAGGCCCTTTGGTTAACCACCATGAATGGTCTCGCCTGAGGTCTGCTCGTCGAGTGGGTCCTGATGACCGGATTGAAATTGCATGGTTTTGCTCTCAGACTCGCCACGTTTCCCTAGAGAAGCAAAATTCCGCGAATTTTTTTACATTGCAATGGTACTTGAGAGACAAAGGAGAAGTTTTGTATGGAGGAAGAAAATGGTTCATTGCCGTACCTTGAAAGGGGAAGAAGGACCGGAAATGTTTAACGATGTTCTGATTGGAGTGGTGGATACAAGAGCCGCCATTGACGAGGACGGAGGTAAAAGGACGAGCTCTGCCTCTCCGCGCTAAAGTTCCCACCTGAAAACTTGAGCTTCCAACGGATATGGATAGGCTGGGAAATATATTATTACGATCGGGTTTTAAATGGATTGGTTATCGTGGTTTTTAATTTAAGTATTCGAAACAATTTGGTTTAGTTAATTTAGATGTTTTTTTTCTATAATTAACTTACTAGCATGTACCCGTAGATTGGCTGAAATATTTAAGTTTAGGACTTTGCTTCAGTGACTTGCATGTCACCGTAACTTTCACATTTCGCTCGACCTCAGTTAGGATTAGGTCGATCTATACTGATGTTTCAATTTTGTGAGGCTCACTGACGCGGTCGACCTCTTTGGGAAGCCAACATATTAATAGGTCGACCCAAATACCTCAAAGACCGACCATTTTGGTACTACTAGGTCGACCTCATAAGTGAAAAGGTCGACCTCTGTGTAGTTCACTAATCAACATCAAAGTTAGGATTATTTAGAAAAATAGTATAAAGGTCGACCTGATAAGTACGAGGTCGACCGCGTGCAAACCGTATCCGTATTGGATAAGGATTTCAACACTAGAAAGGTAACCATAACTTGTCTACCACTTAATTCCACCCAATCTTGTCCTAAATATCTATATAAATACGAATATATGTTACCTTCACCGCCACCCAAACTCTGAATTTAGGTTTTTTGTACTATTAGAGCTTTTGTGAAGAAGATCCTTTGCGGTTGCTGTTGTACGTGTTTCAAGAGGTCGACCATGTGGAAGGTGAGGTCGACCTAATTTAGCTATCGTCATCATCTTGTCTAATGCGTAATTTGCACCGTTTAATTTGATATTTTGTTACGTGCTGAAGACCATTGGGTCGACCCTTATCTTAATCAGGTCGACCTCTGTCTGACAATTGCTAGAAATTGAATTTAGGGCACAACACTCGGCCTTCTGTACTTGTGGGATAAGGAAGATCAAACCCAATAGGTTGACTTAATTTTTGTCAAGGTCGACCATTTCTGTTTGTTTTGGTTGTTTATCCTTGTCGACTTTGGCTTTGTTTGTAATACTATGTTGTGCTGAAAAGGTCGGTCGGTCAATGTGCTTAAAAGGTCGACCTATCAGTTGTTCGTGGTAGTTTACACATGTTTTTGTTGGTAAATTGGTATTTTTATGTTGGATAGGTCGACCTAGGAAGAGCAAAAGTCGACCTAATTGGTTCTGGTAGTGACAAATTATGTCTTTAAGGTCGACCTAATTATGAGTTAGGTTGACCACGTCTCTGTTGTTGGTCATTTGTATAAAAATTGATGTTGAATTATGATGTTGAATTTTTCTTTTAAATTGTTTAGACGATGGCACATGATGAGAAAAAGCAACACGATGAGGGTGAAATTATGAAAGTCACACAAGAAATTGGAATTTGATGAAGAGGAGGAAGACCATGATGACTCTGCAGATTGCTACCAAAGTATAGACGATTTATTGAAAGACCACAAGTTAAAGGTAGACAAGTATATTCATACGTGAGTGAAGATATTAGTATTACTATCATTATTAGTGCTAATTTGTTTTGTTTATATGATTGAAAGAGTGAAACAACGTTTGGCAACAAGGTTTCCTCTCCTAAGTACAAGAAACCTCGATATGAAAGTGACTCCTGTACCACTCCACAGAAGGATCATTTAGTAAGAAAAGGATTATTTAGTGCTGATAGCATCGAAGATGAATCTAAGAGTCCTTTCGAAAAGCACGGAGTAAGTTTACGTTACATATTCATCTATAATGTATATTTGTTTTCATATGTAACTTTCATTTTAACTATGATTTATAGGTCATGAAAGTGGAGGGCCTAGAAGGATTCATAAAAAATCTGCAAAATCCAGTTATAATGTGTGTTTGTTTTCATATGTAACTTTCATTTTAACTATGATTTGTAGGTCATGAAAGTGGAGGGTCTAGAAGGATTCTTAAAAAATCTGCAAAATCCAGTTGAAGACTTGTTTTATGTTGTTGCTAAAGAGAAGGCCGGAGACACGAATTGGAACAAGTAAGAGATGTATTATTTTCTTTAAAGTAGTATATGTGGTCGACCGTTTAGACAATGAGGTCGACCACATCTTCCTAATTCGGTCGACCTTGTCTGTGAATAGGTAGACCGATACTGTGCAAATCACAATTGACATTTCTGTTATTTTGATTTTTGCAATTTGATCGTTGTTGACTTTTTAACGAAAATGAGCAACAAAAATATTCGAGTTCGGCCATTAGAGAGATTTGCTCATATGTAAGTATTATACTGCTACGACTTTCGGATGAATTGTGCACTATTTATGTTATGATTTACGAGGATTTTGTGGTTGATTGTTGGTTGGTACGTAGTGGATTTGTGTGCAGGAGCACTAACAATGTATGGAAAACATGAGAATAAAGAGCCAAATATGTTTCCGGTAAGAGCCGTAATTTTTATTTATTTGTCATAACCTAGTTATTAATATTGTACCATGTCAATTAATCTCAATAAAAATTTGGTGCAGAAAATGGTACGCACTAGCATGAATACCGGACAAAGTCGTAACAAGTTGATGGATGATGGCGTGATGTTTATGACGAATGTTAGTGCATGTCAAAAGATTAGTCAATGTCCCTATCTCATTAAGCTTCCAAAGTGCATTTGTTTGTATTCACTTTTTATAACATATAGTGACTTTTTCGTTGCTAGATATTTATGCCAGTTCTACACGATGAATCACGTCATTGGTTTCTGTATCTCGTCAATGTCCAGCAAAAAACCACATTTTTGCTTGACAGTCTACCTTCGACTAGTGAGGCAGGTCGTAAGCATAAATCAAACCTCTGCAAGAAATTAGTAAGTGTTTCCTATAATTGTCTGACCACTAAGTGTCACGTATATTGCTAGAAGCATATAATATTCGTTATTTGGGTGTAGTTGTCCAAATTGTATGATATTTTCAAACTGTAGCGCATGAGCAATGTATTAGTACCAAATTTTGGAGATTTCAATGTCGAAGAGCTACGCATTCAAGGGCAAAGGAATAGTACCGAGTGTGGTGTGCACGTCATGCAGTGGATGCGCTATGGATCCAAAGATCTGGATAGAGTGGTTAGTATATCGTTAACCAAAAAACTTGTTTAAATTTGTATTTTTTTTAGTTCTAACGAAGTCTTATATGTCACAATGCATATATGAGAAGAACACAAATTACCGGCTCGAAAGGGGATCCTATGGTATCTGGCTACACATTTTGGAAACCGTGCACGAGAAAATATTTTCAATCATGTAGTAGATGAAGGGATGGAATGAGGCAAAGAGAGAAAGAGTTCAAACAGAAAAACAAAGAAATAAAGTCATTAAGTTGCAATGTTGCATGATTTAGACAATACGTTAAATTTAGATTTGCGAGGTTGTTTCTTTTTGGATATTCAATGTTTTTCGTTTATTTGATTAGTTATAAAATTATGGATTTAAAGGACTTTAGGATTTGAATCGGTTACTAAAAGTGGTCGACCTTGTAGGCAGAGCACATGTTGACCTTGTATGCTTACGTTCGACCTATGATACCTTTACTTAGCTCCTAAACAATGTCGAATAAGGATTCAGTCATGTCGGTTTCTCCTCTAGCAAAAAGGGTATACCATTCCCGTAAAGAGGTCAACCTAGATGGGTCGAATTGGCTTATTGCGTACTTCTCCTTGTCCAATTAGGATTTTGCGTACTTGTCCTTGTCGAATTAGGATTTTATGTATCCTTGACTAATTGGGATAAGTGTTCCCCATATTAGTAAGGATAAGGAATTCATCTATATTCTCTATAAATAGATGGACGTCTTAAGACTTTCATCATACTTTGATTTATGCAATTTGTTTGAGTGAAGTTGTAATCTCATCGCTTTTATTGTGATCGTGTGTTGGTGACTGATTGTTCTTACTCCAGTCGACCTTATAACTAAGTGGTCGACCTTGTTTGCTAAGGTATGCTTCCATGTGTCGTGTGTGTTGCTTAACGATTCTCTGTGGTTCCCTTTTTCCTAATTAGGTCGACCACCTCAACTCTCACGGTCGACCGCATCTGTGTAATTTTGTGATTAGGTCGACCGTACAATTGATCCAGGGCGACCTGACGAGATCTAATTTCGATTTTATTTAACATACAAATCGTATTCCGATCATTACATGATGGATAATAGAGATGATACAAATGATACAGATGTTGAAGAGATTAACGTCGATGAGGAAACTGAGGATGCTCGAGGAGGACCTATGGATAATGAAGATGATACAGATGATGAAGTGATTGGGGACGATGAGGAAACTGAGGGTGACGACGAATAATTTATGGACGATGAAGAAGCTACTGAATATGAACAAAAAATTCCTTTCCTTCCATGGAGTTTCAAACATTGGAAGATGCAGAGAAATTTTATGATGTCTATGCTAAAGCAAAAGGTTTTAATGTTCGACGTAGAGATCTTCGGAGGAATCGTCGAGGAGTAGTAACTGGGAGGAAAATGGTATGTTCAAGAGAGGAAATTAGACAGAAGAGGCATGTAGGTAAAGAAGGCCGGACACAACAACATCGTACAATGATAAGACATTCTTGCAAGGCATCGTATAATGTACAGGTTGGAGTGCCTCACCGATTATGTATTTGGCATATTGAGACAAATGCAACAACGACCGTTCTTAATAGAGAGTTCGTTAGCGCATTTACCCACTTGGCGAAAGCACATATATCAACTGAGGAGCTTGAGAGCTGCTGGGAGCGTTTGATTACTGAGCATGGTTTATCTGGAAATAAGTGGTTGCAGGATTTGTACGCTGACAAATTACTTTGGGCAGAGGCATACTTGAAGGATATTTATTCGGTGGGCTCCAATCAACCTCTCGATGTGAGTCATGTAATCATTGGATAAATGGGTATGTGGGAACACAATACAGCTTGCAACGTTTTGTTCAGGGCATCGATGAAGCACTGGAGGGGATGCGTTTCATAGAGGTTGTCGCGCCCTATTTCACTGGATTTGCTTTTTAAAGTATTTTAATGTGTGGGGTTACTGTTGATTTATTGGTAATGCAAGGTTATCAAATTACTAGATAATCTAATGATTTAATCGTAACCCAAATATGTTGATTGGCTAGTTTCTGTAGGTGATCTTGAGTGGCATAAAAGTTTTAAAATGGGCTAGTGGTTTCATAGAAGCCTAGAAAAAGGAAAAGGATGGTATTTTTGACTCCCCACTAGAGAAGTCAGTCCACCCAACCTTGAGTAGTGAGTAGGCTATAATGAAGAAGCACGGTTGCCTCTGTATTCTCCTACCCTTAATTAGCTCACAGAACCCATTTCCCATGCAAGGCTAAAGCCAAACACGTGTAGCTAGGAATAAATGAGAAGAGGGATGAGAAAATGGTTGTCTGTAGGGAAGAGTGAATAAACGCCACACCTCTTCATCTCTTTCTTGATAAGAGGGTGAATGAGCGACTAAATACCAGGCATAGGGGGATGATGATAACCGTCCCCCTAACCCTTCTTACATTCATATTCAGGGAGAGCGCTTTCAGGTGGTGGATCGATGAAAGGTTACAACCACAACCAGGTAATCGTCCTCCTCCCTTATGGGTAGCATCTGAGTATCTTTTAAAAGAAAACCCCAACGTTATATGTATAGAATCGAATAGAGTATTGCTGCCTAGATTCATTGGAAAGCTTTCATCTTATAGTATTGCTGACGTACACTACACGCCTGGGTTCACACTCATTAATTAATACTAATTATAATTAAATTAATTATTACTAAAATTGTAATTACTATTAGATACACTAAAATAGTTTTGTTTATACTATAGTCCTGCAAACCTTCCTACTTTACCTCTACTTTCTTAATTTAGCATCGACCGATCGGATCCTCTAAATTCGTTCTTCCCTACGACAACAAAGTGGAAGAGAAACTTGAAAATGAAAAATCCGAAGATCGGTGTTCCATTCTTTCAGTAATCGGATTAATCTTCTTAGTCTTGTATAATGGTTCACTCTTCTCGATGACGAAATCATTGCGGGGCGTAGCACGATAGCTCTCGACGATGGTGTTGTAGAAGAAATCCACCCGATTGAGGCAACTGATCAGCTTTTGCTTTGGATTCCCGCCGGCGATGTAGGAAGAAGAGTGTGTTTTACTAACCCAAACAATTGAATATTTATGCAAGATACAAAGATCTGTATTATGCCCTTGCAACAAGTGAATTGGGTTTATGGAATAATTCACTTCTCGCGATGGCGCCATCACTGGGATGTGTCGGTTTGCCGGGTTGGAGTCTTCGTTGTTGCCGATGAGGGTGATGGAGGCGACCCAGGTATTTCTAACAGGTGAAAAATTATAAACAATTGCATGAAATGCACTGGTGTGATTGGTTGTATTTTATTCCATGGAGAGGGTTAGTAATTTGGATTTTTCAGACTCTTGCAGAGTGGTAGAGATTTATTGTGAATGTGGGCTGGAGCATATCCCCGTGTGGGTTTAAATCGTAAACAACAATTAATTAATGGGTATGGTTGTAATTAAAATTGCTATTAATAATTAATTTAATTATATTTAATAATTAATTGATAAGTGTGAATGCATGTATATAGCATACATCAGGTAGGCGTACACTAGCCTTTGCCATATATATATGGCAAAGGCTAGCGTACGCCCGGGCGTACCTTAGTCTACCGTACGCCTGTTGAGTTTTGCTATTTAGACAATGAATTAACCAAAGTTTGGAACATGATACTATATCCTAACCCCTAATGGGTGAACCCCAGTCCCCAATTCACTAACCCAAAGCATAATATTCATTTAATTTTGAAATGAAAATCAACGGTTCAGATTCGTCGAAATTATTGTTGATTTACATTTTAAGATTAAACGATTCTCATGATTTGTGTTAGAAAATTAGGGACTGGGGTTTACCCATTAGAGGTTAGGGTATAGTATCATGCCAAAAATTCCGATTAATTCATGATCTAAATAGTAAAACTCAACGGGCGTAGGGTAGCCTAACGTACGCCCGGGCGTACGCTAGCCTAAACCACATTTATTAAGTGGAATTATATTGCATGGATGGATCCTCAATTGATTGGTTGTAGATGTTTTCATGTACCGTTAAGATTAATGGATTATAAAGGTATTTATGGTAATAGAATAAATGAAATGGAGGGGCCTTTTGGAACCCATAACTGATTATGTGCCAGGGGAAAATCTTGCTGCAATTTCGGCATGTTGGCTCTTTTAACTCCACCTACGATTATGATTAAAAGAGTGGGTTTTGGGTTAATTAGTAACCTGTTAAATTTAAACTTGTTTAAATGAATTCCTTAAAGGAAAGGAGCAAGCTGGCGAATCATCAAGAGGCAAGGGCATAGCGAAATAGCAAGCGTGTTGTGAGTAAATTCTAACCTAATGTTTATCTTAATATGATTATGGTATTCGGGTCATGAAATGGCCAGAGTACAACGTATATGATAGCTTGATAAGACTTAAACCAATTGTGATTGAATGTTGCTATGTGTATGTGGCATGGTTACATGATTGAATGATGATGAAATGATTGAATGATCCTATGATTGGATGAGGTTACCGTATCATGGTAATTGTATGATAATGTGATGATATGATGAAATGATTTTATGATGATATGACCAGAAGGTCATAATACATGTTATGTGTGTGTTAAACGGTATTATATGATGAGTATATGAAATGTGAAATGGTATTCAAAGCAGTCTAAGTGAAAGGAATCGCAAGAATGGTTGTCTATTGTGAATTGTACGAGATCAGATAAAATGGCCTATGAGCCATACAAGCGAATGTGATATGAAATGGCCCTTGTGACACGCAAGTGATATGTTTAGTCGTGACTAACTATAAGATTATGCATGGTCACCTAAGGAAAACGTAATGGCGCCCTGCCATGCACTCATTATAAGTGAAAAGAGGCTTCAAGCCTAAGAGATACAAGAGTTATACGAGAACTCCTTTTGAGGAGTAATACCAGGCCTGGCTACGAGTTTATGAGATATGGCACTCTGTGCCCCACGAGTTTACGAGTTCATGAGATATGGCACTCTATGCCCACGAGTTCACGAGTATATGAGATCTGACACTTGTGCCTACGAGTTACGAGTTCACGAGATCCCAAGGAGTGCATGACTTGGCAAATTAAAGAATAAAAGCTACCGAATCCAGCTAACTATACGTATGTTTGGGATTGGATGTTGATATATGGTTGATTTTGGATGCAACATGAGTATTTGAATGTCAATTTTAGTATTGGTCATATTTGTGTGATATGTGATTGCGATGGCAATCTTAGTATTGTCCATATTTGATATATAAATTGTAAACCCTTAATTACATGAAATATGAGATATGTGAAGGTCGATGTGTTATATGTGATGTCAAGTGATATGAGGTATATTTTGTGATAATCTTCTGTGACGAGTGGTACTAATACGACCCTGGAGGGTGTATTTTTAATGTTTCTGCAACAGTAAATTCCCCCGAATCATCACCATAAGCTACAACGAGATCGTCGATTTGGCAACTCCGTCCTGCAGAATAGCGGCAACGTTTCTGCGTTCTTTTCAACGGAGTGATTCGAGCATCGTCAGTCAGCTCGGGAGCTTCTCCTAGACTTTTCAGCATGCTTCCAACCTCTAGGGAGACTTCTATGGTGAAATCGTCCTTGGAATCTCCCTCTTCTTCAATGACTTTGCTGCGGCATGCAGCACTCTGTTCTATAGGAGAAAAACAGGGAGCTTGAACTTGGGAAATTTTGATTCCATTGGCGTTACGACTTTGCCCCAAGTTCTGAAATTTACCATCTAAATCGTGATTGGCTCCCTTTGTAACATCTGGAACTCGATTCCTCTCTGTACTCGGATTGCACGCTGCATAACTTTGCGGTGAAGCAGCTTTGTTTGCCGACAACTTCAGCTCATCTAATCGACGATGAATTTTGTCGAATTTGTGCTGGAATGTCGCGTTAAACATCTCGGTGACCATCTGCTTCAATTCCTCCATGTCAATTTGAAGATTTCCCATAGTGTCTTCTTCGAATTCTGTTACTTCTTCAAATACGAATCCTTCTCTGCTCCTTTCTGTTTTCTGTCCGCGAAGAAACAGAACTAAAGCAGAATCTCGTTCTCCTCCTTGCCCCTGCGTTGAACCGGGCTCTGATACCACTTAATACGACCCTGGAGGGTGTATTTTTAATGTTTCTGCAACAGTAACTTCCCCCGAATCATCTACCTTTTAATCCAATTGAGCGTTCCCCAGGTGTGGAATCGTCCTTTTGATTCCGTTTTATCCAAACACCCAAGAACATCCTTGTTTTTTGTTCAAATTTCGTTTTAATCAATCCAATCCTTGGATTGATTGTGTTGCTGCGTACTTTGGTAAAAATCCAACCCCCCAGGGTTGCATCAGGTACAATGAATAATCAGGAAACTGTTTTATAAGCAGTGATGATACGTTGACTTAAGTATGTTACTACCATGAAATGTTGATGGGTTCAATGTTATGTGTCTATAATACATCCAAGGATGTGGTGTTGTTAGAAGTGCAAAGATATGATGAAAAATTAGTATGATGTAGAATAACAAATATGAACTATTTGCAACACCGGGTAGGGTAAAGTAGAGGTGAAATCCTAAACGGATTATGTATGACATATAAGTAAAAGCTCAAATGAATGACCAATAATGTACATATGAAAGATCGAATGGACAAGGGAAGAAATTTTGTATAAATTTGCATAGGTGACACGTAAGTAAATTCATTAAGTGATTAAATATGCATCGAGTATAATGGACGAAAGACACTTCGAGCCAAGGAATAGCCTGATATCATTTTCGTATTAATATTTATATTAGGTTATTATTTACTCATTGAGTGACGTCTCACCCCCCACAATTTTTTTTCCTCACAGAGTTGGGTTAGCACCAATGGACTTAGATGGGCAAGTGAAATCAACCGAATGGCTAGGAGGTGGGCAGCGGAACTGAACTCTCCACAAGCTTATAGTTTAAACACGAAAGGAACAACAAATCCTCTCAAACTATTTTTAGAACATTCTTGATTTTTAAATGCAAAATATTTTTCTCATATACTCACAGAGGAGGTATATCGGGAAGGAGCATAACATGGGCAGGAGAAAGAGTAAAAGTAGCATACATGATAGGGTGTTATAGAGGTGGAGGATGATTATTCTTCTAGGCACACGAGGTTGGTCTGCAAGCATACCATTCGCACATGGGAAATGCAAGATGAAAGTAAATACACACATCGTAAATTTTCTATCAGTCTGAACTAGAGAACGAAGCTTCTTATTTGTTTGCGGAGACAAGAACTGAAGCATATGGGATAGAGACATTCATTATGAATAACTGCATGAACTCGAATTGGATAAGGAGGTTAACATTTACTACGACCAATCAGCATCTAAAATGTGAGCACTTCTACTATGCTATATAGCATTGGTGCTTTAATGTACAACTTAAAGTTGTACCATAACATTAAATGTATAAATTTAGGTTGTACCATAAAACAATTTGTAACATTATGTTATGGTACAACTTTACAACTTGAAGTTGTACCATCACATAAAGGTACAAGTTCAAGTTGTACCATACAAGAATTTGTACAAAAAGTATAGGTACAATCTGAAGTTGTACCATAACGTAAATGTACAATTTTAAGTTGTACCATAAAGGCAAAAACCTATAGCACAAATACTATATAGCATTATAAAATTTCTCCTAAAATGTGAGTGTGCATTGTTTGAATCTAAGGGGTTTCCATGAAGACATATGCTTGCAGTCATAAAAATAAGGAATTTACAACACTACCCTCCACGTGCTTCAAGCTTCGATGGACCCAAAATGCAAAAACACTATCTCGTAATCCTGGAGTTGGAGGTGATGTGGCAGAGAAAGTCGATCAACTGATAAGACATGGGGGATTGTCAGTAAAGTGTATACGTTTGTGTGACATCGCATGTGGTAATGAAGCTGCTTTTAATCATGCTCCTCGGCATTGGATAACCTTACTCAATGGGCAATTGAGTTCTCGAGGGAGAGAATGGATACCACTGCACCTGCAAACCCTCCAGCAACCCTTCCAAGTGTGAAAGACCCAAAAATCGGTAAGAACAAGGGAACATTCATTTCAGCACGAAGTGCATCGAGCAAAAGCATAAGAAGGTGTTCGAAATGTTGGAAATTTGGTCATTTCGCCCTAAGTGTCCGAAAAAAGCCCCAAAAAAGGCATAAATTTCTAGTATTGTTTTTCAAGAGTTTATTTTTTGTAACTATGATTGCAGTGTTTTATTTTCGCATTTATGTATTTTCATATTATATTCATAATATAATCATGTGTTATTTGGTAGGCGTGATCGGCCGAGGTACTGTTCGGCTGGCCAAACCGAGCTAGTCCGGTCTAACCCTATCTACCACACTCCTTTTAATTTCTTGCAGCAGCCCCCCTACACTTATTTTCTATCTTCATCTCGTCCTCAATATCTTCTTTTCTCTCTTATCCCTTCTTCTTCCACCACCA